GACCAGGGACCAGAGACCAGAGACCAGAGACCAGAGACCAGAGACCAGAGACCAGAGCTCATGAGGAGCTTCAAGAACAAACAGACCTGAGATCACAGAGGTGAAGAGGGTCGACCTGACACACTACAGACCAAAGACTGACCACAGGAGGTCTCTGCAGGACTCTGAGTGCAGCAGGGTCCAGCAGGACCAGGTCCAGGAGGTTCAGGTCCAGCAGGACCAGGTCCAGCAGGACCTCAGAGGACCACAGTGAGACTTTGTGGACACGAAGTTAGTGAAACTGTCCGTCAGTCTGAGACGCTCTTTGTCTCTGATTCGTGTGGAAAGCTGCTGTGACCAGAGCCAAAGAGGTCAGCTCAAAGTCAGAGGCAGGAGAAAGTGGGGGGGGGGGGGGGGGGGGGGGGGGGGGGGTCCAAAATGAGCCCTTTAATGAGTCCAATTACACGGCTGTAAAATCTGTCTGATGTAATGAGGAGGCCTCTTCATCTGACTGAGCTGCTGTCCACTCTGTGGTTGTGTAACAGGACGTCTTTGTCCACACACACACACACACACACACACACACACACACACACACACACACACACACACTACACATTTAAAGACAAGTACAGCTGTAGCTAAACCTCATGTCCATCACATATTAATCTGTTGTTTTGATTCGTTAATTAGTCTGAAACTGATACGATTAGTCACTTTATCCATTTGTCAACTGATAATTAATCAGTTGATTAAATTAAAATCACGATCTGAGGGAGTAACCTCCCATTTCAGCTTTTTGTCTTGATGACGTGAACACAGTCTCCTGATAGGAAGAAAACTCCGGGTTCATCCGGTTTTCTGTCAGTTTGAATGACTTTCTCCTGTAACAAGGTTTTTAATCTCACTCAGACTCAGACTTCTCCTGGTTAAATAAAGGTTACACAAATTTAAAAAAAATAATAATTTACACTGTTTTTTCCGTCATTCCGAATTAAAGAATTCAGCACAAACTGATCCAGAATCTGACAGT